TTAGAGGCGACCTACTGGCCCTGCCCTGTATGAAGCCAACTCTGGCCTACGTCATTTACAGTCCCCCGTGACCCCGTTTCCCCCTCCCTTCTGGGTGTGTCATAAATTAGATTCTCCAATTGAGCACCTTCCTGGGCTGGGTGTCATCATTCATGTTCTCCAATTAAATATATTCGCAGGCAAAAGCTCTGGTAGTTTAGTTACAATCTTTTAAAGATAAAGAGTTGGAATGTACTTTCGCTTTGGTGCACTGCTCTTCCCACATTTCCTTCCTCCATCCCTTTTTTTTTTAATGGCAACTACTAAAACAGGCATAGGAATGTTTTACGAGTTGACATCTACCTTTAGCCTAAACCAGGCAGCCAAAGAACCAGGATACGAGCCTCCGAAGCAAATCCAGGTGTGATTTGCTCTCAAGTTGTACTTCTCGGTGATAAAATGGCGGAAGGCAACCAGATCAGAGAGACTGAAAGGGAGAAGGTTTCAGAGAGTGTTAACAAGACACGGCGGGCGTTTCTCCATCTCAAATCTTACGGATTGTGCCTGGCACACCCTGGACAAGGTGTTGTAAGCTCTTCCTGCCCCCTGAAATGCTGTCTAAAATGGGCCTGGGTTCAAGTCAATGCAATAACCAGTGGCCGACAACTCGCGCCTCGGGTTTCTAGACCTCGAGGCAGTAAAAATAGACTCGAACCTGTTTAGACTCTGCCTGAAGGAATCTCAGAAGCCTAAGGAAAAATTAAATGGATTTTTCAATGGTCAGAATAAAAACAAGGAAGAGACGCTGAACTTCGAATCTAAAAATCAGCAATTGCAGAATTATAGTTGGAGTTCCTTCTACCCACATATACCCACATTTGGAGTTCCTTCTACCCACATATCTAGAATAAGCCAACATGACCTGTAAGTCAAAAGACAGCAATAAAAGGTTTTTAATTGCTGCTGGTTTCTGATAATTTGATTTCTTTTTTTATCATTTTTATCTGGTGTTTTTAATATTGTTGTAAGCTGCTTATAGAGTCACTTGTCACTGAGATGGGTGGCATATAAATTTAAATTAAAATAAATAAATTTATATTTTTTTATATTTTTTTTAAACAAATAAAAAAACCAGGCCCATTTTTTTTTTTTTTTGCAAATACAGACTGAAATAGAGAAAACATTGAGGATTTCTAGCTGTTTAAACCAGCACGTCCCAACCTCGCAATTTTAAGATCCGTGGACTTCAACTCCCAGAATTCCCCAGCCAGCCGTGCTGGCTGGGGAATTCTGGGAATTGAAGTCCACAGATTTTAAAACTGCTAACGTTGGCAAACATGGGTCCAAAACAGTCTAGCAAACTCCAGAAGGTGGATGTGGATGTTAGCCAGCCCCTCAAGATGAAAACTGGTGAATTTTGGGCCAACTCACGCTTGCTGGCTAGACAGGAATTGAAGATTTTCATCCTGCAAACCATCAGGATTAAGGCTGGTCCCATAGAAGCGATGTTCCAATGCTACCACCATCGCTTTGTACTTCTCTGCCAAATCTACATGATGTCCTGAAATTAGAATAAAATGCAACAGGGTGATGTGGGGTCTTTGGTGCTTTCTAAGCTTGGTGGTTTTCCTGTCGACATTTCATTACCAAACTAGGTAACAACATCAGTGCTACAAGGGGGAGAAAGTACAATTGTGCCCAAGAAGGGGTATTTTCTTCCCACACCCCAGGTGACTCTATGGTAATTCTATGAGGCCTCTCCTGTATGAAGCCTCTCCTCTCTACAGGGCAGCTGGGAGCTCTGTAGGGAAGGAGTCAAAAAAGTCAAGATGGCGTCCCCAATGACAAGATTTAAATTTGCAGAGCTGGGACCCTGGACATTTTCCTGGCTGCGCATCCCAGCTTCGCTTCTTCCCAGGGAGAGAAAGCCAAGCCGAACGTTCCTCTCCAGAGAGCGTGGCCTCCTGGCTGCTACCGCTCGGCCTGACTCACTTACCGGCCACCACAGAAAACGGCGTGAGGGTTTCTTCCCCTCCAATGTAGAGGAAAATGGGCCCTGCGGGACGCTGCCAAAATTGCTCATTAATCCAGTAGCGCTGAAATTCAGAAAGAAAGAAAGTGAGACGGAAGAGAATCAAATCACCGAATATAAAATTAGTAGTCAAGAAAAGCCACAATGCTGAAAATTAAGAACGGGGCACTGTTCACATTTGCATCCAACACCGTAGGAGTCTCCAGATTTGGCAATTTTAAGATTTGTCTATTTTTAACTCCCAGAATTCCTCAGCCAGCACAATTCCGGGATTTGAAGTCTACAAATCTTAAACTTCACTAGCTCACTGACTGGGGAATTCTGGGAGTTGAAGTCCATCTATCTTAACATTCAATAGTTCACTGACTAAGGCAGGGGTCCCCAAATTTGGCAACTTTTAAGATTTGTGGACCAACTCCCAGAATTCCTCAGCCAGCTATGCAAGTTGGAGTCCACATATCTTAATATTCAATAGCACACTGACAGGGGAATTCTGGGAGTTGAAGTCCACAGTTCTTAAATGGGCCTAAGCTGAGAAACACCACCAAGGCAGGGCCGATCTGAACGTACACAGCTGTCCGTTCTCAACTGCCGCTTTCTCACCTGGTTAAAGACGCGTCTCTCTTGACGGTTGAAGTGATCCAGACGCTGAGGGATGACCCCCACCTTAGTGGAGATTGAATTTAGCATCGTTGGCCTAAACTGGCTCTGCAGCTGCCAACGCATCTGCACTTCCCTCATGGCTTGTTGTTCGCGCTGCCGCTCGACATGCTGGCGGAAGAGCCAGAAAACTTTGCCTAAAAGGGCGACATGGGGGGAGAAATAAAGATTAAAAAGAAAAAGAAAAACTTTGCACAATACTTCAGTATAAACCCTGTCTAAACTCAAGGTGGTTTCCAGTTAGATGCAATGCCTAGGTGTGATGATCCAAAGGGGCGTGGCACAAAGGCAACCCAGTCACATAAGCAAGAAGAATCCTTTTATTATTTCCAACTTTGCCCCCAATGTGCAGGTTACCTTCGGCTGGAGGAAAAAAAACTCTCCCAGGAACAGCCTTTAACTGGAGAAAATTCAGTCCAAAAACAAAGTACATACAGACCAGGGGTAGGATTCTACCTAGTCGGACCAATTCTATAAAACCGGTTGTTATGATTCTGCCCAGCTCCGAGAACCGGCAAATCGCACCACTGGCTGGCCCTGCTCCTCCCCTCCCCCTCACTGCTTACCTGGCATGCGCTCCATCCAACTTGCCTGCGTTAGCCTATTTTTTGGTAAATTGCTATTTTTCTTTTCCCTCCCACCAGCTGTTCCAACTATCAGCTGTTCTGGAGATTTAGATTAGCTAGAAAGCAGGAAACAGTTGGATTTCTTGCTTTCTAGGTAATCTAAAAGCAGAGCCCAACCTTCCTAGCTTCTATTTTTCACTGCAGACTCAGGTAGCAGATTGCAGAATGGTAGATCTCTGAATGAATCTGTGATTCTGCAAGCAACTCAATCTGCCTGCCTGCTTGGCCTGATTTGGGGTAAAAGTTGCTCTTTTTTATATAAAAAGTTCAATATTTACATCATGGTGCGTTGGGAGTTAATTTTGTGAGTTTGCTTGCTAGCAAATTTTATGAGTTTGCTTGCAAGCAAATGTTATGTCACATACTGAGCTAGCCAATGGCAGATAGATAGATCTCTGAATGAATCTGTGAACAATCAACCCATGGAACAGAAGTAGCCTTCAGACGTTGTGGGAGCTTCATCACTTGAGACTTTCAAGAAGAGACTGGACTGCAATTTGTCAGAAATGGTGTAGGGTCTCCTGCTTGGGCAGGGGGTTGGACTTGATGACCTACAAGGTCCCTTCCAACTCTGTTAATCTGTTATTATTGTGTTATTCAGTAGTGGGAGCTCCATCCCTGGAGGCTTTCAAGAAGAGACTGGACTGTCCTCTGTCAGAAATGGTGTAGGGTCTCCTGCTTGGGCAGGGGGTTGGACTTGATGACCTACAAGGTCCCTTCCAACTCTGTTAATCTACATGCTTGGTTACATTTGTATCGGGCAAGCGGCCCGTTGAGGCATCTGTTGAGTCTCTCTGCATAGCTGGAAATCAACCCTTTCTCAAATTACAAGTCACTTTGGGTTTTTTGTTTTTTGTAATTACAAGAAAAACGTCCAAGTCAGTTACAAGTAACTTTTAGTTCCTTGTTTTCTCCAAGAGGGAGACAGATGCTCTTCTCAAGCTACTTTTGCAGAAATGAAACAGAAGATCCGTTTCGGCTTCGTAATTCTCAGAAGCTAAAGGTATCAAAAAATCAGTCACAAGACCTCCATTTCCTGAAAGTGACTCACAGATTTCATCAGCCACAATCAAGGTTTATTTATTGGGCGAGATAAACTCAGAATGCACTGATTGATTGGCACTAAAAGGGCGCATTGAAACACTGAATAACCAAATAATGAAGGACTATATCTTAATCTAGGAGCCTTCAGATTTTACAGCTTTAAGACTTGTGGATTTCAACTCCCAGAATTCCTCCTGACCTCCAGTCATGTTAGCTCAGGAATTCTGGGAGTTGAAGTCCACAAGTCTTAAACATGCCAAGTTTAATATAAACATGGGTATTAACACTAGGCTTAGTAACTGTGGCCTGACTAGAAGCTAGAATAGAGGTAGAAATAAGAAAGAGGGGGAATATTAGCATATATATAATTTTTAATATAATAGAATATAAGCAATAACCAGATGGAAATTATTAGAGCAAGGGTCTTCAAACTTGACAAGTTTAAGACTTGTGAACGTCAACTCCCAGAATTCCTGAGCTAACAGGATTGGAGGAGGAATTCTGGGTTTTTACAACTGCAAAACCAAGCTTCCCCTTGCTGGCGCACTCTACCACCGAATATCACCTGGTGGGACAGGGTCTGTAATTAAGCATGCCGGGAGTGGAGGAGTCACTGAATAAAACCTTGAGCCTCCCCTTGCCAGCGCACTCTACCCCTATCCCCAGGAAGGGCAGGGGGCCACGTTTAAGCACCCGGAAAGTCCCTAGCGTTGACTGCCTAGACAGCCCCAGAGTGAGATAGGCAGAAGATAAATGGAATATGTACTTTTAACAAATAATGCCGCTGTTAAAAGTGAGCCTCCCCTTGCCGGCGCACTCTACCGCTGAATAACACCTGGTGAGGCCGGGTCTACAATTAAGTTGGAAGTGAAGGGGGAGGGGGTCCTATGCTTTTACAGCTGTAAAACTGAGCCTCCCCTTGCCAGCACATTCTACCACTTAATAATACAGTTGTAAAACTGAGCCTCCCCTTGCTAGCGCACTCTCCCACAGGTGAGTATCACCTGGCTGGGAAGTGGGCTGTGATTAAGCATGCTGACCTCCGTGCCTTTAAGTCGTCCCCCCCCCCCCCCCCCGCTCGCTCCCCAAATACTGAACTGGCCTCTATGGGAAACTGGGACCACCGCTGGTCCCAAGCAGAAGGCAAGCAAACAAGAGAGGAAAGGGGACCACGCGGTAACCCCAGCGGGCCGCTTCCCCCCACCTCCGGAGGGCCTTCCGAACTCACCTGCGTGAGCAAAGGCGAGTAGGGCGGCTAGCAGGAGCCCGCAGGAAAGGCGGAACCGGGCCAGCATCTTCCAAACCACCAGGAGCCGAAGAAGCGAAGCGAAGTCAAATCAAGCCTCGCTTGTCTCCCCCGGGACAAGAAAAAGCCTCGCTCACGTGAGCAGCGGACCCCACCCCCACCCCCCTCTCGGCCCTCCTCGCTTTGCAAAGGGACGTGCCAGGAAGCCCAAAAGGGGGAGGGGGGTCGGGGAGGGACGGGCCCGGGTTCAAAGGCCGGGACTTGCCTTGCCTTGCCTTGCCTTGTTTTGCTTTGCTTGCATCGGATCTGCAGCGTTTGCACAAACGTGTCAGCCCAAAGCCCGAACAGCTGATCTCATGTGATGCGCGACCCCCGCCCCCTCCCCCCTCTCTCTCTCACACAGACACACACCAGGCATGTGATGGTTTCACGTGATAGCGTGGATGAAGTCAACCTCGGGATTCCTGGCGGGGTGTGTGTGCGTGTGTGTGTGAACGCGGCCGCTGACACGGATCCCCAACTCTTGCCGGTTGCCCCTCCCTCCTCTCCACCCCGCACCCCTGGTTTCCTTCCTTGCCCCGCCAAACTTCAGCGCGGCTCCGCCCGCTGTGTGTTCCCGAGGCGCAAAGCAAGATAACAAGACTCGGAAGGGGCCTTGGAGGTCGTCTAGTCCAACCCCCAACCCCCCCACCCCCGCTCAAGCAGGAGACCCTATACTATTTCAGACAATTGGTTGTCCGATCTTTTCTTTAAAAAACAAAAACAAAAAAGCGTCCAATGTTGGAAGCCCCCCACAACTTCTGAAGACAAGTCGTTCCACGGGTGAATTCTTCTCGATGATGAGAACATTTAATTCTTCTCCGGGGCTTTTCAGTCTCTTCTTGGGAAAAAAAAATCTCCAGGGATGGAGTAATCACCACCCCAAAATTAATCGGGGGAAAAAAATCGAGTCGTGAGAAGATGAAACAAAGTTGGTGACGTCAGAAGGACCCACGCGCGGGGAAGACGCGGTCGCTCCTTCAGGGTCGTTCCCACGCCCGCCGCGGATCTTATAGGAAAAGGCCAACCGGTTTCCACGAACCTGAAGGGGAAACTCTCCTGCTTGGGGGGGGGGGGTTGGACTAGATGACCTACAAGGTCCCTTCCAACTCAATCTGTAAATCTGTAAACCCCAATAAAGAGAAAATCTCGGTTCCTCGTTCCGCGGAAGTCGGAAAACTTTCTCGCCGCCAGGGGGCAGCAGAGTCGCGGCGGTGAATCGAATTACAGTAGTGGTAGTGGTAGTATTGTTGGTTGATGCTTGTTTTATTTATTTGTGTGTGTGTATACATATATATACATGTATGGCACTCAGCTTTGTTCGGGTATTTTCCCACGTCATTGTAGTTGTGCTTTTAAAGTTGTAGCAACGTTTAGGCAGAATCTCATCTGCCATCATCAGGCTTGCTACAACTTTAAAAGCACAACTACAATGATGTGGGAAAATACCCGAACAAAGCTGAATGCCATACATGTAAGTACCCGCGAAAACTTAAGAAAAAACCATTCTGGCACAGCAATAGGCTGCCCCAAATTTAAATCTGAAACCACTGTAAAAGTCTGACTCACAGACAGACACAATACAGAAGCCTGATGATGGCAGATGAGATTCTGCTGAAACGTTGCTACAACTTTAAAAGCACAACTATAATGACGTGGGAAAATACCCGAACAAAGCTGAAGGCCATACATGTAAGTACCCGCGAAAACTTGAGAAAACATATATATACATATATATACAGACACACACACACGTAGGTCTAGGTGTGTTCGGGTCTTTTCCTGTGTAAGATTAAGACTATCTTGGTGATGTTTCAGCGAGGTCCCACTCGCCATCCTCAGGCTGGTGCTTTCGGCTTCGTGCCAGTAGACTGCTTGACTATTATATATAATAATACAATAAATCAGTTTTTAAACCTGAGTGATTTGATCCATTGAATGCGTCCTTTATTAAATTTATATGTTAGCTACTATCTGATATAGTAATGTATCCTGTACATACACATACACACTATACATACCTATGTCATCATGTATGTATGAATGCATGCATGTCATCCATCTTCTCTTATTGAAATAGCTGCCCAGGTAATTTTTTTAATAATATTAAATCAGATAAGAAAGTTAATAGTAGGAACATGAAATTATGCTCATGTTTGTTTTAAAATGCTGAAAGACCTGGAACCACACTCAATGATGTATTTAAAGAAACAAAAAAAAAATGTATTGGGAAAAAGAAAGAAAGAAATAGCTGCACAGGGTGTTCTATGCATGAGTTGAATGGCTATTTAAATTTGCTTAATAAATCCATAAATACCCAAAGGACTTTGGACATCTATATACTATATAAAAAGTTAACATTTTAAAGTAAAAACACCTTAAAAACTCAAGACAGGGATAAACAAACCCAGATTTGGGGTTTAAAAACCCAGCCCTGAACTAACCTGGTTCCAAAGCCAGACGGGGGTCTCGGCTCCCATTGGGAAACTAATCTAAAGCAGG